CAAGTTTTGTTTCAGACAAGCAAATAATATCAAGATTGTTGTTTAGACAATATTCTTCCCAAACTTGTTGTTTTAGTTCTTGGTTAAGGCCGCAAATATTATGAATACAAATTGAAAGATTGAGGGGGGAGTAAGGAGAGTTGGGACTATTAGGAGTAGAATTAGAAACAGGGTTGTATGCATTATTTAATATAGAGGAGTTATGAGTATATAATATAAGAGGAATAGAAGGTTTGAGATAAATAGTTTCATAGTAGGGTACAATAATATGATCTGGTAGAGGGCAGGGTTCATCAGGTGTGTAAATATGAGCTTCGCTAAAGTCTGATTTAACAGATATAACAATCTTTTCATAAAGTTTGTTTATAGACCAATAGTAAGTAAGTGTAAGATGAAAGAGTTTAAAGTTTGTGGGCTTTCGATGAGAGGGTATTTTTGAGATATAAGGAATTGGTTGTAACAAATGAGTAGATCATAAAAAGTAGGAGTTATATTAATATAAATCTTGGGTAGGTCTTCTACTGAATCGCTCACCGTATACCCAGCTCTTACGGTTCCGCAAGAACTAGAAATACTCTGGTTAAACGTTAAAGTACCGTCATTATCTAATCCTTTTAGGTAAATAGGCTTATTCACCTGCCTACTTACATCATCTACTTTATTAACTGCCAAGGATGCTTCTTTTAATAAAGTAGTGGCTGCATTTATGGGGGTAGTAGAAGACTGGACTAGTGAAAATAAGATTGGGATGGAGTAGATTGGTTAAGGGGGATGGACAAAGGAGGTGAGGAATTAATGATAGTGTATGTTGTAGGATTGTTATTGGGAGTTGAGATAAGAACATTCATTGTTAAAGGAAGTTTGGTAATCTCAGAAGTAGTAACTTGTGTAGAGGTCAAAGTGGAGTTAGAAGAAATATCATAAGGTGTAGAGGAGGTGTTTACAAGAAAAAGTGAGTCATCAATATTGGAAGGGACTATAAAGTTTAGATTAAATTTGGTAACAATAATATTTTCAGCTTGTTTGTATGCTTTATTGATATAGTAATTGGAAGTTTGAGAGGATGAAGGTTGTTGATCTTTAATAATATCAAAGTAGGTTATAATTCGAGCAAGAAAATCAGTTTCAATGAGATTTTGGGTAACTAGGTCGATAGCTTGATCTTTAGAGAGTTTATTAATGTTGTGGTTTTGAGCAGCAATATTTTGATAGGCAATAAAGTATTTATAAAAGAAGGTATTATGACGACTAGTAGATGTAGGAATGGAGTTGTTATGACAGAAAGTTTTTTCAGCTTGGTTGGCTAATTCGTGGAGAGTTGAGGTAGGAATTGGTAACTTAAATGTAGCTTGGTATTTATGATTGATGAAGAATATTGATGTATCAATATTTAAGTCTTGTAAGTCGATATCTTCTTTAGGAAAAGTATTAAAAGAATCATCTAAGATTGCTTTAAAA